TGCATGTTCATGTGCATAGTCAAGTTAGCTACCTAGCTAGTAGCGATGAGTAGCGAGCACGTTAGTTAGCATTACTTTACTTAGCCTTGTCATTTTTAGTAGCCTTACCATGAAGTTATTATTTTATTACATGAAGTAAACCAACATTTTAAACGGTAAGAGTAGTCATGATGGTAAGTATTTCGTGAAACATTTGAAGCGTAGCCTACTGCGCCATCCACCGGGTGCTAAGGAAGCAGTCAGGGAGAGTCGCAGGCAGGCAGGCAGGCAGGCAGGCAGGGAGCTTTGCATGACATTCTTCTGGTCTTTGGGGATGGGGATGATGATCGCCTCCTTCGTGGTCCACACAACAAAATAGCAGAGACTCCGGTCTGTGATGTGCAGCTGCCCTTGGACCTGGTGCCAGTATGGGTGATTCTCCTTGAGAACATAAGACCCACCCTCCTCACGGAGACAGAAGGATGGTAAGTCATGTGAAATCATCTTTACATACTAGAAAACTGTAGGAGTGGCAACTTGTTTTGAAATTGAATTTTTAATATCCGATAATAAAGTTGATCTGTTTTCTTTATTCTTCTCTCTTCCCAGCTCCATCCATCACCATTCTCTGTTCATCCGCGGAGAGAGGGCTTAGACTGACCTGAGACCAGCACACCCAAACACAACAGCTCTTTTAAGAGCCACCTATATTTTCAAAGAGTTGCAATCCTACGTTATTATAATGATTAAACTGTTTCATGTATCACTTAGTTTACTGAACCGTGATGAATGAAAGAGGTAGTGGTTTACCGAAGTTACAAAGACATTAATATATGAGTAACAGGTCAGTGTAAACACAAGCTTCTGTCAATTATGGATCATTCAAACTATTTATATACAAATATGTAATAAAGTTCTAAACAAGTATTCGGTATATTCCTTGATAGCTTTTGGAGAAGGTTGTTTTAAGTTTACTAAAATCTATCGTTTCAACTGTTTCACTTTATAAAAAGGGAACAGGTGAGTAGAGCATCATTGAGTTTCTTATTCTGTCAGTAAATTATCCAAAGGAATGTTTTTCATTATTTTAGTCAACCCTAAACAAATTGATTGTACCTTTTTAATAATGACCTTACATGGTCGGCAAAGTTTAAATTAACTTCAGAAAAATCAAATCTGTTCTGAGAAAAAACTAATAAATGTTGAAAGATAGAAAATTGCCATCCCCACTGAAAAACAGTCTGTAGAGATTTAAAGGCGTAATTGTAGTTCAGTCCAACGTTTCATTTGGATTCATTTCTCCAAGTCAACTATTTTCATAAAGAATATATATATTTTTCAAATTCAACTTTATTGTCAATCTTTCTCAGTTTGTGTTTATAGACAGAGAGATCAAAAAGACGTTTAAATAAATTATACAATTTACAGATATGTATACAAACATATATATATATCCTATATGCACCATCATGTATAATGATGGTGTATGATGTAGAAGGAAGTGTGGTAGATAACAAGTAAATATACATACAGATCCATGTTACAGCAAAAGATGGAATAACTAAGAAGCACACAGTATAATAATAATTACATGCAACAATTAAATAACTGCTCAGCATCTCCACCACAATCCCAATCTGCTGTGTCCTGTTTTCCTCCCCTCTGCATAACACCCCATCACACATACGAAACACAACGCAGAGTCCGAGGGTGTTAAGAGTATGATTATTTAAATGTCCTCCTCTCTACTGGCCAACACAGGGAGCATATGCTGGGTGTAGAATTTTAGCCGTTAATCAGTCCAGCAACCACAGCTACAGCAAAGGGCCAGAGTCTGCAGAAACTGACCCCAAATTCTCCAGTGTGCAGTCCGCAGACACCGAACCTGATGTGCTGGTACAGCTTTGCTGTGCCTTGGTGAACCTGCAAAATCCCCTGATAAAAGAAGTAGCCAGCACCCTCACCGTTGACTAAGCCAGGGGTTCCCAAACCTTTCAGCCTGCGATCCCTGGGGGGAACATCCAGGCCCGCTGCATCCGCGGAGAGGGCTTAAACTGCTGAGACCAGCCCAAAGTCACACAACGGCTCTTTTAAGAGCCACCTACACCTTTTCTAAAGAGTTACAATCCTAAGTTATTATAATGATTACACTGGTTCATATTTTACTCAGTTTACTGAACTGTGATGCATGAAACCAGAAGGGGAATTGTTGAGGTTTACTGAAGTTACAAATATATTAATAGATATGAGTATAACAGGTCAGTGTAAAAACAAGCTTCTGTCAGTCATGAATCATTCAAACTATTTATATAACCATGTAATACAGTTATGTATTAGTTCAGTAAAAGTAATTATTTATTTATATGTCTTAAATATCCTTTATTTTAGAGGGGCCTGAGACTTAACATGTTCATTGCCCAAAACTGCACTGTAGTTATTGTGCATGTGACAATAAGGCCTTAATATTAGGGCTGCACGATATCAGGAACACATAACACGATAACACTTGCTATATTTGAACAAAAACGTACACATGCAGCATTATTACTTTTCCAACAACATGGGATTTATTGTTTATTAGTTAAATATCATGTGTGTGTGTGTGTGTTTATTTATATGTCCTCTCTACTGGCCAACACAGGGAGCATATGCTGAGTGTAGAAGTTCTCCAGGAGGAGGAGATTTCCATGCCATGCAGGGTCTTTGGGGATGGGGATGATGATCACCTCCTTCGTGGTCCACACAACAAAATAGCAGATACTCCGGTCTGTGATGTGCAGCTGCCCTTGGACCTGTACCTGAAAATAAATTTTGAAAAACATTTGATCAACAAAAAAAAAGGATTTGATCAGGATCTAGACTCAGTGTGTAGTTTATTAATTAATCAATGCTCTCTACATTAGGAACACACATACCAGTGTACCAGAGGGAGTCACACACAGCTGTGCCTAGATAACCAAACAAATTGACAAAATAACCAAAATCCTTGAATCTACACACAGCAAATAAACTCAAATGACACAAAGGAGATCATACATACAGTATAGTCGATATAAAACTGTCCGCTTCAATCTGAAGAGCAACTAAAACAAAACACGGGAGTGTACCTTGTTCTTGTGAACACTAATGTTATCCACAGCATACACAGAGACCACGAAGTTCTTAAGGAGAAAACTAGTTGCTAAAACAAAACACGTTAGTGTACCTTGTTAGCTAATGTTAGCTAGCTGACATTAACGTTACACATTGCACTCATATTACTCACCGAAACCTTGTAAAGCCGGTCCCGTTGCTCTTACAGAACCGACTAATTCCCCTTTCATATAGGTACAGCTCTCAACGTGCCCAGACTTGTAGTGATTTTCACCTCGTAAAATACTTTTATTCTCATTCTGAAAGAATGTGGTGAAATGTGCTAACGTGACGGCCATCTTTATGTTGGTGACGCGTATTGTGCGAGACGAGAGACCTGTAGTTCACTGAGCGGTTGCACACGAAAAAATTTGTAACTTCACAGTTTACGACACTTTTTTTTTTTTTTGACTTGCAAAATGTTCTTTTAAATTGACAAACATCATATGTGTCATTCGTGGCACAATTCAAACGGGATCAAAAGATAACCTTTCTCTCTCCATTGACTTCAATGTATAATTTTCCGCTTCCGGGGTCCCATGGAGGCTTTCGGAAGGGGAGGGACTTCGCCTCTCTATAGGCTCTGTGCACAAGATGGCGTCTATCAACTTCCGGCGGTTCGGTGTGCGGCTGAGTACTTCCGGTTTGAGTACAGAACTTTGACAGCTTGACAGTTTATGTCACACCGAGAGCAAGAATGAGCGGATTTCGGGGTAAAGAAAAGCGATTGGCCTTCCAGCGTGTAAGAAAGTCGGCACTACATTGCTGTGTGCCCCTTTGTACAAATTCGTCCCGTTATCAGAATCAGAATAAGAATACCTTTATTAGTCCCACAGAGGGGACATTTGCAGCATTACAGCAGGAAAGAGCCACAGACAGCTTAGTGTTGAATATCTTACATGCGTTAAAAAGTACTAAGTTATAATATAATAAACAATATGCTAAAAAAGTACTAATTTATAATATAATAAACAATATGCTAAAAAAAAGATTAAAAGTTACATCATTTTCAAAAATACAGAAAAAACAAATCAAATCTACAAATCAAATCCTGTAGCAGTTCTTAGGATTTAGCAGCCCGGTATATATATATATTACAGTTATTAAAGATGGCATATGTAAATAAAGTATATATTGCACATAAAGCACATATTGCACATAGTTTGACGGTATTTAACAGCAGCAAGTTACACAATGTTATAATCGGGAGATAAGTTTCCATTCATTACGGCAAGCCTGGGCAACAACGATTAAAAGATTTCTTGCTCCCAAACCAATTGTGTATTTCATTACAAAAAGCAGTTATACCATACTATGTTTAGGTACTAATGAATTATATCCTCAAAACAAACGCACACACAAATAACAAAGGAAAATACATAATTTAATAAATCCCACAATATGATAACAATTTACAGATTAATTTAATAAACTTTTACAAAACATAGGTTGATGTTATATCGTGGGAAAAATACATATTTAAACATTTCAATTAGTCTGCATATTTAAGTAATGCTAGTTTATATAACAGATGAACAGATGTACAATATCCAGAAAGTAGATGCAAAAAATATATATAATGTGTGCATTTCCAACATATCCTCTGAAAGAGTGTTAGTCGTTGAGTTGAGTAGTGAGCCATTCGTTTTTTTTTTCGTGGTGCGATGTCTGCTGAGAAGTCCTTGTATACCTCGCTGACTTTGAGGACATCTGGGTCTGGCAGCTCCCCCCGCACGGCCTTGTAACGTGTACTCCTTTGAACATGTTTATATGATAATTAGGACTTTAAGAACAATTTTACACTCCGACAACAATCACAAAGTTGTAGCAGGCTACATACAATTACTTAGGACAATATATATTACCTTACACCGTCAGCAACTGTAAACTGCTTTGGCATAGTGGAAATGAACACCATGTCACTCACTCTGCCTGGTTTCACACCCTATTAATTACACAAAAGAATTGTCAATTTAATTGAAAGGTCGTTGATGCAACATACTAAATCAGCTCTTGGCACAAAGGAAATACTCATTAAATCGTGGATTGGTTGTGAACACATACTGTACTTACCTTGGTTCTTGTTAGGGTAATGTTGTGAAACGAGTGGCCCATGGTGGTGGTGGGGTTATGGTATGGGCAGGCGTATGTTATGGACAAACGAACACAGGCCACTCGATTCACAACATTACCCTAACCCTAACCCTCACACCAGATACTGACTGGTTTTCGGACCCCCCCCAATAAAGCAAAAATGCACGTTTCAGAGTGGCCTTTTATTGTGGCCAGCCTAAGGCACACCTGTGCAATAATCATGCTGTCTAATCAGCATCTTAATATGCCACACCTCGACACCTGTGAGGTGGGATGGATTATCTCGGCAAAGGAGAAGTGCTCACTATCACAGATCTTTTCAGATTTGTGAACAATATTTGAGAGAAATGGTTATTTTGTGTATATCGAAAATGTTTTAGATCTTTGAGTTCATCTCATGAAAAATGGGAGCAAAAACAAAAGTGTTATATTTTTGTTCAGTGTAGCTAGCTACCAGTTGATGTGAGCAAATGTATTGTCACTATGTAATCTGTTGCAACACGTCAGCTAGCTGGGCTTATTTGAATCCTAAATCACAGGTTACCTACTCTTGCCACATCAAAACCCCAGAACATGAACCTGATTGAGGCTTTGAACCGATTAACACTTTTTATTTTCCTCCCTACTCTGAGATCGTGAGGCTTTTCATGCTTTCTCATAGACCTGTAACAGCTAGCCCTGATGCTCACTCTCCCTGAAGGTAGATCTTTGAGAAAAAAAAAATCAAAGTAGGCGGAACTTCGGGATTTGATGGGGATTTTGAGATAATATGTAGAGCTGCTGCACCCGGATAAGTGTGCAAAATGTCAGGTCCGTCGGAGTTACGCTGGGACTTTGTAAATTTGTTGGAAAAACTGAATGTTCACAGGTGGCGCTAGAGAGCAAGTTTGACATTTTTCACCCATCGAATCCAGAATGTCAACATTTTCACCCGTCCTGGCGGCGTTGCCAAATGTCGCTACATGAATAGTGTCGCAAGCCCCTCAAAAACAGGTCGAAAGTGCAGAACCGGTAAAATAAGAATAATACTGCTGACGATTTCAATAGGTCTTTGCACTTCATGCTCAGGCCCTAATTATGTTAGACACAAGTTAGTTATTACTCACATATCAAAGTCTTTTCATCTGCAAGATGGAAGAATAGCTGGGTGCTGCTTGGAGAGACTGATGAGAGGGACACAGGCAGGCCAGCAGCTTTCCACACAAAGCCATCACATCTTCTGTTCCATAGTCCTCACTGTCCACTGGTGCTCTGTCAAAAGAGTGAACATCACAGCTGTCATGTTAACCCTTTGTTACACAACATACAACCAACATGTGTCAAAAGCAGTGTTGGGACTAACGCGTTATAAGTAACTCGTTACTGTAACGCCGTTATTTTTGGCAGTAACTAGTACTCTAACGCATTACTTTTTAAATTCAGTAACTCAGTTACCGTTACTACATGGTGCGTTACTCCGTTAGTTTTTTTTTATATAGTCAACAGCCAGGCGAACAGAGATGAGAACTGTACTTAAGTACAGTACTTGAGTAAATGTACTTAGATACTTCCTGTGTCACATGCGGAGACGGGCTGTGGGCGTATTTGTGTTGTTTACTAACAAGACTATCATGGCGGCGGCGGAGCTCAAGTCTAGTTTCTCCACCTGGAGATATTCTCACTATTTCACTTTTGTCGAGCACAAAGAAAAGAAAGTTTCTGTTAAATGTAAGTTGTGTCCTGGCGGGTCAAAGATCCTATCTACTGCCCAAACCAGTAATTCAAATCTCTTAAAACAAATGCAAAAACAACATGCTGGGACGAAGCTAGTAGTTAAGACCACAGAGACTCAGCCGACGCCACTCCACCTCCACCTAAGCAACAGCGGCTGGATATTAACCAAGGGACTGTTATCCAGGGAAAAGTCGATAAAGCCATTGCACGGTATGTTGTAGAACACATGCAGGCTATTGCTACAGTGGAGTCACCCGCTGTCAGGGAGCTAGTTAGCATGATACCATGTCCGGGCGACACACGGCATATGGGACGGAACACTTTTTCCAACTACCTGGAGAAAGAATATACAAAAATGGAAAGCCAGCTAATATCGATGCATTCCAGATTGCATATAATGCATGTCAAGTTGATCAACAGATTGTATTATTCCCCAATGCAATAACAGTACTGAAATGAAGGCTATAAGGGCATTAATGGGAGCCCTTTTTTCAAGTAACGAAAACGTTACTTTTCACAGTAACGCATTACTTTTGGGTTTAAGTAACTAGTAAAGTAACTGAGTTACTTTTGAAATGAAGTAACTAGTAATGGTAACTAGTTACTGGTTTTCAGTAACTAGCACAACACTGGTCAAAAGTGACCCGAATTAGTTTTAATTGTAAATATCCATTCAGGATTCCAGGGATTGCTCAATTAACCTGTTTTGGATCAACACCAATTATACATTTTTATTTTTCCCTTTCTTACTTTTTGAATAAAAATCATGTTTGTATCACTACACTTCTAAGGCACAACATGGGTCAAACATTACTGTATTATTTTGCTATGTTATTTCATGCATGGCTGAGTGTTTCTTTACTATACATTTTCAAAAATAATACATTTTAGCAGTGATTTGGACCAAGCATGTATGATGTAGTAATACAAAAAGTATTTTAGTTCACACAGTGTGACATTAGCTAGTCATGTTAGCGTGTAATATATAGAGCAGAGCTAACTAGCAAGTTAGCGGTTAGCTGTTTATGCTATGCTAGCTGTTGGCTACTGAACATTAACAAACTAGATTCCGCTGTAAGAAAGCTGTGAAACTTTACATTAAACTTGGCGACAACACTGTAATACCCCGCTGCATGTTTATGTGTAATTCTCCCGTGTTGGAGACGAGAGGGTGGCGGGGCAGCACTGCAATAAGCTGTAAACTAACGTTAGCAGCCACATGTTAAGCCGGGTTTCCCGGGCGCAACATCTTGCAAGAAACAGCATCTCAGGGCTTCTTAACATTTAACAACCTATTAATGATGCATACCAACTTAACGGGAAGAAACTCAGCTAACTAGAAGAAGAAACGTAACCTTAAATACAAATTAAAACATTCGCAAACTAAGGATTATCTAAATACATGTTTAACTCCATTACAGTTGCAGGACTCACCAGATCTCAAGTCTTCTGTTCTTTGTTGACGTCCCGATGCTCATATTTAACGTGTAGATGTAAAACGATCCCGATATTAATCCATAAACTCCTGTAGCAGACATACAGACAGCTGTAGCTCGCAGGAGGAGACCGCTCAAACTGACGTGAATGTTTCTAATGTGAACCAGAGCCCTATTATCTCTCTAGGGCTCTGATGTGATTATCTCTCTGGCTCTGATGTGAACGACAGGCGCGGACAGTTCTCATTGGCAGGTTTCTTCGATTACGTTTATATTAACCAATCAGGAGTGGTTGTGGACTCATTCAAACATGCCTGACTTGTCTGCCGTGTTCTGGCTGAATTCTATTTCAAGTGCCGTAGCTCTGGCTATCGGCCAGAATCCGAAAACCATACATTATACTGTAAAACTAAGGTTTATGACTGTATATTGACCAATGGAAAAAAAAAAACACAGCAACATAAATAAAACAAGGATAACTGTGACTTATTGTTGAGTAATAACAGTGTGTGTTTTAAACCTTGGTCCTCCCTGGAGAGATTTCTCCACTTTCTATGATTTAATTTTTTTTTAATGATATTGTCAACTGTAGATGTTTACAATGAAACATATTTATTTACTTTTGTTTCAACATTGGATATTTTGTGTTTGTGGTGGATTCAATCGAATATTAAGAAAATGATTTATATAAAAATGTTTTACTTACATTTTAAGTTGTTTTTATTTGACACTTTTTTTACAGTTTTATATTTACCTTAAAATTACAAAGACATATTTTAAAGTCTTATAGTAGTAATACACTTTTATATTACGAGTTACATATTTAATTACAGATAATACTTTTTATTTTACGTACATCTGCATGTATTTTCTGAAAGTGCAAAAATACTGTAAATATTATATAGTAAATTTACTGTAAAAAAAAAAGTAAATAAACGTTATTTGTTGTTATTGTCAAAATACTTAAAATAATGTTTTGGGTTGTTAATTTATAGTTAATATCTGTCATTTTACACGATTTTGCAAGTTATTTAAAAAAATTGAATTGAATGCAGCAAAAGTACAGTAAAATTACATAATTTCAACTGACCCTTTGACAGATTTACAGGCACTTCCAATGTACCTTGTATGTAAACTTGGCCTGCTTTATCCCCTCTATTCTTGTCTGAGCTGGAACAGGAGTTGACAGAGCAGAGTTGGCAAATCAAACAATGCTAGAACATTTGAGTGGATTAGGAGATCAGAGGACTTTAAAAGGCGAAAGTCAGACAGAGACACAGAGAGGAATACCACACGCTCATCTAAATACACTTTGAGACTTCGACAGAAGGTAAGATGAAACTGCAGGCTTTTCTCCGCTGTGGTACAGAGAGGCTGTTTCTGCTATGATGGAAGAGAAAGATGGACAGAGTGATGGATTTTAAGATTTTTTCAGGAGAGTCATTGCTAAAAGATCTGAAATGAGATCTGAGATACTTCCGGAGAAGACTTCATAAGGAGTATTTCTTTGAGCTGGACTTCTTGTTGATACTGTTAAAGCCCCAGTCTCTATGTCTTAATATCTCTTTTGAATTGATACATCTGATAAACGCAGAGGAGTCTTGAATCCTGTTTGGTATTTTTCATCAATACATGATATACTTGTGCTTTGGTGGCATGGGTGTTAAAGGTGTCTGTATGATATACCTTTTAAAAGAGGAAATCATTGGTTGATGGTTGCAGTTTAATCTGATGAAGCAATGCATGTTTATTGTAGAGCACCTTCTAACAGCAAGGGCACAAAGTACCGTACACAAAACTTTAATAATAATAATAATAATGGGTTCCATTTATAAAGCACTTCATATTTGATTTCAAATCCCGAAGTGCTACAAGTAGTGAGCATGAACAGTATAAATAAACATTACACAACACGGTAGAATTAATAAAAAGCAATACAAAAATAAAAAATAAATAAAAGGGTGATAAAAAGGTCTAGGGCCTAGGCAAAGGCTCTTTTGAAGAGATGGGTTTTGAGGCCTTTTTTAACAGCCTCCACGGTCTGTGGTGCTCTCATTTGGTCGGGGAGAGTATTCCACAGACTGGGAGCAGCCGAGCAGAAGGCCCGGTCTCCCATAGTACGGAGCTTAGTCCTGGGGGGTTTGAGGAAGTTGGAGTTGCTGGAGCGGGTGGTCCGCAAGGAGGTTCCTTGAGGTAGGGAGGGGCAGTTCCATGGACACACTGGTGGGTGAGGACGGAGACCTTGAATTCGATCCTCAGTTCCACGGGTAGCCAGTGTAGTGCTTTAAGGATGGGGGTGATGTGATCATATTTGAAATAATCAATTGAAATGTATGGAGACAAGATATTACATTTAAACAAGGCAATGTTAATTAGTGTATATATATATATGTCAAATGGGATTTGAAAAAAGTCAAACCAAGTGCATTCACAGTTATGTTGCAGTGAGAGGCTTGAATAACTTTGTGACAAAGCAGTGGCATACAAAATCAAGGTCAAAAGTACAGAGAGTTGCAAAAACATCATATATCGCTCTTCTTTTTCAGTGAATAACTAAAATGGCAGATGTAGCCGTTCCCAAGGCCGCCCCCAAATTCAAGCAGAGGGCCATGCGCACCTTCAAGAGCAAGGCACCCAAACCCGGCCAGAAGGGGTGAGATGGATTTAAGATCACACACATATAAACAGTCTCTTTCTTTATTTGCCATTTCAGATCTACTCTCAAACAATAACAACTTTAATCTCTCAGTTTGTACTCATCCGATCCTTTCATCTTCTGCACTCAGATTCGGAGACGACATTCCCGGCATTGGAGGGTCTGGGCACAGACATCACAGTGGTCTGCCCATGGGAAGCCTTCGGGGACATGGAGCTCAGCGACCTGGCCAAATATGGAATCGTCTAGCCCCCTCCCCTCTTCCCTTACCCGAGTTATCACAGTTGTCCCTGATGTTTCCCCACTGTTGATTTAGCAGTTGAAATCTTGTTCATCTAATCTTGTTTGATCCAGAGAGGAGAAAGCTTTTGATCATTCAAAGGTTTGACCTGGAGAAAAAGAAATCCAGAACTCAGTCTTTACTCATGCACTTTATCTGCACACCAGGGTGGGAATTTCATGACGGCCACGACGGCCATGGCCGTCGTTGCCCCGCACTTTGGCCGTGATGCCCTGTGAAAAAAAATGCAATTCACGGCCAAAGTGGCCTTGGTGCCCCTGTCAAAAGTTCCAGTGTAAACAACGCTAGTAAAGTCATATTAGTGCGCGCAGTAGGATAGTCCCGGGCGATGCCTGTGCCCTGTGGATCAGAGTGATTGCTCTGCTGTGATTGTTCCGTCAGAAATGCCTGTAGGGGCCCGACAGCCTCCTCCTCAGCCGCGGGAGCAAGACAAGCACAGGTAAGCAAGCGGACCAAGCTGTTTTTTGATTTTTAACTGAAGTATGTGGTAGTATTTGAAAGGACTTAACATTTACGTGTTTTAGAAAGTACTATTGATAGGTAATTACCATTGTATTAGCCTATTTAAAGTTGACTCGTTACATTTTGTCATGAAAACTAGCGATAGCTAGCTAGTTTGGATAGCGCTAACGTCTTCCCTTCAAGGGGTCTACATCTAGTGTTACTTCTACAAGCTAGCAGATAGCTGTCACCTTTGAATCTAGTATTTTTCTTGCTAAGCGGTTTTGATATAATACATGACTGACTTATGTGGTTTATGGCTGAACTTAACGTATACGTTAAAGAAACACTATTGCTATTCAGCCATTTGTAAAACGACTGGTGTTGACGTTAGTGCTACACTTTTCAGTCATGTTGATTGACCAGCGTAATTTAACCAAACGGCCTTTGTGCCCTGTCATGTGGCCTTTGTGCCCTTGAAAAAAATGTGAACGGGAAGGCCAAATGGCCTTGCCCCTAAAATGACGAAATTCCAAGCCTGCTGCACACGTCTTTCCACCAATTCTCCATCGTCTGGACCTGAGCGTGTGCTTTTCCCAGAGGAAGAAAATAAATCCAATGCAGTACAATTTTTTTATATGAAATACATTTTTCTACATGTTTTGCTCTTCAATGATTCTTCATCCTTTCCTCAAAGCTGCTAATTTAACATGCACAAATGTTTATAAGTAAAAATCTAATATTAAGAGAAAATCAACCTCCCTTTTCAGTAAAATATATCGTTCTTGTGTTATATCACTAGGGAGGAACATTTCAATAATCAATACATGTTCCTTAAACCAGCTGTATGTGTGCCCTTCCATTATTAACACCAAATGCCACACTGATGTTTACAATATGTCACTACATAGCCGACTTCAGAATATAATAGTATATTTATGATGATTACAGATGATTACTCACCATCTGACACTAGTGTAGCCAGAGTGACTATAGAGTTGCTGCTATGTCACCTTAAACTGCTTACTTACTCTTACTTATTCACAGTAAGTCTATTACTTACTATATAAGAAGAAGATGGACCTTTAGTAATCCCCAGAGGGAGAAATTCAGTTTCCACTCTGTCGCATATACACATGCGTTTTTTATACAGGTACATACAGTTCACCCTTTTTACATCATGCACATACATATACAAATACACACACAGTTGCACACATGTACATGCAGCCAGTGAGCAGTTGGGGGTTAGGTGCCTTGCTCAAGGGCACTTCACCAGGAGGTGAAATGGCTCCTCTCCAGTACCAGTCCACACTTCGTATTTTTGGTCCGAACGGGACGTGAACCGGCGACCCTTCGGTCCAAAGGCCAATCCCCTACAGATTGAACCACCCTATAACATATACACCACACCTCAACATCAATTTAACAAGAAATAATTTGTCCGAAAATTGGTGTAAAATATATATTTTTAAATAATAAAGTTCAGTTTAGTTTGATCAAAAATCAAAAATAAATGTGGGGGCCTATGTTATATTACACATTATACTATAGTAAAATATAATATGATTATATAGTCATATAATAGTTTCTCGTGGAAGTTCATAACTGTTGAGAACATTTCGTAAAATGTCATAGTACAATACAGTATGTAAAAAATGTGATACATTTTATAAACTAACACAAAAGTCTAAGTATAGTTATACTTATTCTTGAAAATGTCATAAAGTAAAAACAAGTTAATAGTATACAATGTCATTAAAAACAGATTAAATAAAGAGGTTTCTGTGATAGC